AAAACTATTTTATGACCAAGATCTGTCTTAAGACGGAAAATTATCATAAGGTAGCACCATAAGGTTTCACAAAACTCTCATATCTGAAGATTTATCTTGATCTTAAGACAACTATAAATTTTGTTTGGTTGTGCTCCCCTGAAATTGTTTGTGCTCCCACCCCACCCCAAACTAACATTGCTTCTTTGTGTAAGAGCCAGGTATCATTTATAACTTCATTTAACATTAATGAATTTTGAATTTGTTTGTGAAGCTCAATTCTTGGCTAGAACATATTATTTTCTTTGACCAGGCATTGCTATTTTTAGTTTTCATATGCATGCAACAAAGTAATTCAAGATATTTGAATAATGAATAAGTTTGAATAATGAATAAGTTAAGTAAATTAATTTGGAATTTACAAAAATATGAAATATATGCTTTTTTTAAAAATTTGGACAAGACCAGCCCCTGACAAGACCAGAAAATAAAAAATCAAACTATGGTTCTGTCTAGATACCCTCCATTAATGTTCTAATGGCTTTTTATATTTATTTGTTCACATTTTGATGATTTCTTTTTTAATAAAAAATAAACATATTGTTTAAGTTTATAGAATTAGATGAAATACTTTAGTTTTAATTCCTAAGGAACCCCTCCAGGCGCGGATCCAGGAATTGAAGTTAGGGGGGGGTGCAAAAAGTAGGCAGGGGGCCTTGGGGCTGCCTTGAGGGGTATGATTTACACTAACTTTGACAGTTTTAGGGGGGTGCGCGCCAGGACGCCCCCTTAAATCTGCCACTGCCCTCTTTCATCTACTGGAATGTGTATGAAAACTCAGTATACCTACTATTAGTATGACCAACTTGACTTGTAATTACTGCTTAAACTTTTATAGAACTTTTAAATTCTTGATTAAAAATTATTCTTTCTTTTCTCTACTTCATCACATAGCACCATTATTTCAGTGATAAAAAAAAAACATTTCAGAGATGCCTTCAGAGATTTTTGTGAACACACAGACTTTGAACATCTTCTTGGTGTTATAACTGAATTTATTGGAAAACAATTCATAATATGCACAAAAGCAGTAGTGGGTTTAATTAATGACGTTTCATATAATATATTTTGTCAACTACCTTTATTTTCTGAGCAAAAGACATGTAAATTATATTCAAATTTATTCACATCTAAAACAACATTTAAGCCCTTTGACTCAACCTCCCCCCTTCAAAAAAAAAAAAAACAAAAAACATTGTAGTTGGTGCAATTAATGTTATTGTTATAACTCCAAAAGAAATTATTTAAAACACTCCATTATTCCAAATATTTAAAAAAAAATAATAAAAGAAAGACAACTAAACTTAGTGGAAAAATATTTTTTAAAAATTCTTTGTACTGTAAATAACTTTTAATTCGTGAGAACTTTATTTTCGCGTAATTAAGCAAGACTGTCTGCTTGCAAGAAATTTCTTTCTTGCATATATTTGTATTTATGGTGATTATATACAACAATAATAACAACCCCACTATACACTGCATCAACATTTCTGCTCTGACGCATTTTAACAGTAAGGCATTTAGATCTTAATGTCGCAGTTGCAGATAACAGTATAAGCCTTCAGGTGTTAGTGTAGCAATCAACAAAGTATTACTAGATTATGCGGATTTGATACAGAGTATTACTATCAATACAAAGAAAGCTAAATTTATATCCTTTCATAGCTTTGAAAGCCATTTAGGTCCATGGTGCAAGACTAAAACGTCCTCACTAGAATTTAAACCAGTCACTTTTAATTTCCAGCCAATCCCATCTAACCATGTTCTCTGAAGTAGAATAGAAATTATAATTATGCTCAAAGATGCATGCTGAGTGTCGTATGAGTTGTGTAAAGGCAGTCTATAATCTGAGAGCTCATGTCGTATTTTCAGATAGCATTTGGTTTGTAATCTGCTTTATTACTAGGCCAGTTTCAGATAGTCCCAGAATAACTCTAAATTGAGGCTAATCACCTACATGTATATTCTTCATATGTATATCATAAAATATGTATGCGTCCTTACATGTATTTCAGACTTATAAACTAGCTGCTCAACTGAAATTGTCACATTTATGACATGCTGATTACATCTCCTATGGTATTTTGGGGAGGGGTTGAAGAAGGGGGGGATGTCAGGCTTTTAGATGAATCTTCTTTATATATTAGAAAACTGAGTGTAGGGTACAGTAGTGTACTAGCTAGGATCTCGGAGGTAAAACTCAGATTTGGAATCAGGATCTGTTATAGATCTTTCATCAGATATTTTAGTTTTTTAAAGTGATAACAAAATAATAGGAAACAAGATGTGTTTGTGAAACACTGAGGCCCCCGTATGGCAACTTAAAGTGAAGGTTAAACTTTCTCAAATGCAAATCAAATAGGTTGGTACCCAAAGTAAGGTCTTGTCTCTAGGAATATACATGTGAAATATGAAAATCCTAGCAGCACTTAGCAGCAACCATTGAATAGATATGGAAAAAGTTAAAGTTTTTCAAAAGTAAGTCAAACATCAAGGTCAAGGTCAAGGTCAAAATTAATGGTGCCCAAGGAAAGGCCTTCTCACAAGAAATATATATGTGAAATATGAAAGTCCTAGCACCAACCATTCAAAAGTTATGCCCAAGGGTAAAGTTTTTCAAATGTAGGTCAAACTCCAAGGTGAAGGTCAAAGGGTCACAGTTGTTGGTATCCAAAAAAAGGTATTGTCACAAAGATTACAGATGTGAAGTATGAAAGCCCTAGCACCAACCATTCAAAAGTTAAGGTCAAGGTTAAAGTTTTTCAAAAGAAGGTCAAACTGCTAGGTCAAGGTCAAAGGGTAAAAAAAGTTGGTATCCAAAAGAAGGTCTGTCACAAGCATTACACATGTGAAGTATGAAAGCCCAAGCACCAATTGTTCAAAAGTTATGGCCAAAGTTGAAGTTTTCACAAGTAGGTCAAACTCCTAGGTCCTGGTCAAAGGGTCAAAGTTGTTGGTATTCAAAGTAAGGTCTTGTCACAAAGATTACACATGTGAAGTATGAACGCCTTAGCACCAATTGTTCAAAACTTATGGCCAAGGTAAAAGTTGGTTTAAGTTTCGCAAAACTGGGTCAAACTCCAAGGTCAAAAGGTCAAATATGATCGTACCCAAAGAAACGTCTTGTCACAAGGAATACACAGGTGAAATATAAAAGTCATAGCTCCAACCAATCAAAAGTTATGGGCAATGTTAAAGTTTTTGCAGACAAACAGATAAACAGACAGAAGGATGGACAGGGCAAATACTATATATCCCCAAATCTTCGATTAAAAATTTGAAATGGTTTAACTGATGCTAGGCATGCACTCTTATATGTATAAAATAGTCTTTTGTTAGTATCCAGCTGTGGCACATGGGTGTACATTGTCAGTACTATACATAAAGCTGTATGCAATTTTAAACACTCTAGGTGTACCAATGTGTGGTTTTATATTACAGTGACAGCTTCTAAGGAGAAATCAATTATTTAGAAATACAGGGTCTGACTGACGTGGGACAGTTATACTGACAACTCAAGTCATTCCTTGCCACATTTAGTCATGTGTATTAATGTTTTACATCTTTGAATTTTCCTTTCAGTTTGATGAATTACAATGAAATTCAGCAGGTGCTTGTAAAATTTTTTTCTTTTTTTCATTAACAGATATCAACTTATTCTACCAATTCTGCAGTAGGCTTACATACTAATACTATTTTTTTTTTTGCTTTTTTTGCTTACAACTAAAGTATACCATATGATGAAAGACTTTTTTTGTCATAAATATAAAATAGTCCCTGTGAACTTCCGCAATTTCATTACTAGGATATTTTAAAAAATGAACTTTCTGAATGTAGGATATAACCACACGCTTATAAACACAAGTTATGTTTTTTTTTAAAATCTCTCACTAAAAAAGAAATTTCAGTTGTGGATCTTCAACCTCATCAAATTTCTTCAGTGCATATGTTGGCCTAATGATATTAAAAATCATAGATATTGTATGTTTTATGTGATGTGCTGATAAGATTATGAAAAGCTACATCATGGCTACTTGTACTTATAATTAGCTTACAGGTGATGGGAAAGCCCTGACAAAAAAGCTGAACATCAGTTAACAGTATACCACTTTTTTATCAGTCGTTTAAGATAAATTTCATGAGTGCAGGGGTGTAAATTGGTTTTGAGATCCTTTGCTACTGTTATAGATAAACGTGTTCATGATGTTATCATGATATATTTATTACACTAAACATGGTGATTCAATTTAACAGTACATCTTATCATTTTGTGTTCAAATAACTGGTTTTTTTTTTTTTTAAAGAATAGCAAAATATACATAAAATTTCATACTCAATTTTAAAATGATAATTGGAAGCAGATTTAAACTTTGTTCATGTCAAATGCCTTTTTAATTTTTTTTCAAATTTTTATATTAAGTTGCAGAACTGTAAGAATCGATCATGACTTTCAATGTGGATGAAGTAATGTTGCTCTAAATAAAGATTAATAATTAATTCATTAGAGAGTTTACTATTTGTAGTAAACTCTGAATATACTACACTGAAAAGGAAAGAGAAAGTTGACATGCAAGCATGATGAGAGAAATAGCTATTGAAAAAGGGTTCAATGGTGGAAGCTGTAATGCTGATACATATAGATTAACCAAGGGGTGACCCTCTAGTAATGACAAATTTTACAATAAATCTATGGGGGTTGTATAATCTCAACAGAAACTTAAGCATGCTATCAATATTTTTGTAGAGAAATTATTGACTTGTTTTTCCCTGACAAATGGTAGAAAGGATCCATACTGTAGCTTAGTAGTTGAAGTCAATGATATTGATAAAATTCTAGCCAGTTTTTTCCATGAATTGTCACATATTCAGTCCTTCATTCTGCATTTCTGACATGATGGAGTAGAGTGTCCATATTGTGTGTGTCTTGTGTAGTTTTATGTGGATGTATAATATATTTCCAGGAAAATTCCAGCAAAACTTGGTGCAGAGTTGACAAGTAAAGACGTACAGAACCGGATTTTAGCCTGTAAATTTTCACCTTCTTGGAGATATTTTGCAGTCTGTGATGATGCCAAGAGACTTTATCTGTTCCACTGTAGTGAACAATGGGAAATGGTTAGCAACAGGTACGTATTTATAGAGCCAGGTGACAGAGTGAAACTGCCGGCTGGCAATTAACGCAATGTCACACCGCTCACTCGGCAGGGAGCTGGAGAAAAATGCTTGAAGCCCAGAGATTAGGCTAATAAAGCACACTGCCGGCAATGGTCTGTTTTGCTAGGTTAAAAGGGAATTCTCCTTGTTTGGCAGTGAGGGAGTGTTGAATGGGCATGCTGTTTACTCAGCCTCAACCAACTTTCCCTCATACAGAAATTAAAATATGACTACTGCAAAAGTAGTGAAGGTAAAAGCTGTAATGTATTATGTGTTTAACCATTTCCTCTTTCCCACAACCACTCAATTTGCACCCTGGTAATAAATAGGGTGGGTTATTTATGAAGCGAGGCATGTTTTAACCCTGTGTAAACAATGGCTGCTGGAATCTTCATCAGCAGCTATTCCCATCTTTGTGCCCGACCTGTGCCAAAGGTCTCCCTATCTATTTCATGCAAGGCTGATTCACTTCAATTGAAAATGGGCCTTTAAATTATGAAGTAAAACAGAATGGGAAAATGATGGCATTGATTCTTAACAAATACCCTGCAAATTTATAATCACTTTATCAATATTTATTTCACAGTCCTGACTTGAGAGAAATGTTTTATTTAGGCAAAAAAAGGATGCCATTATGGAGTCAAAATGTGATATATTCATTTTAATTTTTAAAAGGGGGAGGGGGTGTGGAAAAATGAGGAATAATCATAATTAGGGACATTGTTTTTTTGTTTTTTATATCTGGGAAAAAAATTCAGTACATCATTAGGAGACCTTTATGCTGTTTGCACTTGATATGAAATACATGTATGTAAAAGATAATAGTATATGTACCAAACAATATTTTCCAGTGAAGTAGAAAAGAATTTGTGGAGGAAATATTTAGACACATTTATTTTTAGTGACATTAATGGGTTCATTCAGAACTGAACCAATTTCAATCAATGTTGGCATATAGCTTCTATTATTGAAGGGGAACAAAAAATTTAAATTTCATGGTCTCTGCTACCTCTAGGGCCTGAGGGGTGGGGCTAAAACCATCAAAATTAATGCAGTCTTTAAAAATCTGCTTATTTACTCCTGGAAATCAAGCAGTTGCCATGATTGTAATAAAGATTGAGCCCTCTACCAAATTCTGAAATTCAAGACCCCAGGGTCAAGGGTTCTGGAGTTACGGTGGGGCTCTAATGATAAAATAGTGAAAATGCATAAATTCTTTCAAAATCTTCTTCTTTTCCCCTTTATATTTAGCAGATAAGCAGGGTTTATTAATTTGTAAGTTATTCCCCTTAGCTATTCACCTAGCAACATAAGTTCATGTTTTAGTTTATTTTGTTTTATTTTATACTTCTATGGATCTTTACAGTGTTGTATTACTCAGGTGACTGTTAAGGCCATTGAGCCTCTTGTTTTTCTTTGAAAAAAAAGGAGGGGGGATTAATATACATTTTAATGATAATTCAAATTAGATGATCCTTCTCTCTATTTTCTTAAATTCTTCAATTCTGAAGGATAAAAAATAAATTAAAATTGAATAAAATATTCAGTAAACCAAATACAAGTGAAAATTTAATGTCGTTTACCTGGTATATAAGCAAAAGAAATTTAATTTAAGGAACTATCAACTAAAAGTTTCTAAGTTTCCACTCAGTTTTTGAAATTCTTCATTAAAAAAAGTAACCAAGAATAAAATGAAATTGGATAATTGATTTAAAAACTTCAGTTAAACTCTAAATGAGACAGAAAGAGAAAGTAACTATTTATAAAGAGATCAAATGTTTGTTTCAAGAAAGAGAGAGGCTGTCAGGTGGACAAATAGAGAGAGAAAACAGACAGACAGATGGCTTTACACCTACAAAGAAACATATGTAATGTAGTAGTAGATCATCTGTAATTGTAAAGACTTCTCATTGTGCAAAGGGGGGGGGGGGGTGTAATCTTTTCTAATTCAGTGTCTGTCAGTTCAATACTTGAATACATGGGCTTTATTTTTGCAGATTTAATTTTGAGGGAAGAGTGCACTTTTTTCCTATGAAAATTATTAATGTGTATTAATATTTTATTGATTTTGTCTTTTTAACATATGAATGGGAATTAAGCTTATAATTGTTTAATTTAAACCTTTTTCTAGTAATTAGCAGTGCAAAATGTTAAACAGAAATGTATGGACTTTGGAAATTGCAAGTTTTACACAAAATATTTCATAGAACTAGAAAATAATTGTAATCAAGTTGTATCCCTTTTGTTTCTTAATTAAAAATCCTTTCCATTAAATGAGTATTTTGTACATGAAAAAAGTGATATGAGAAATACAGATTGACAGTTTACGGCTGAAAAAGGGAGTTTATATTCCTATAATACGAAAGCATTAAAGTCTACGAAGATTTGAGTGTTAGGAGAAGACTTAAACTAGACATTTATTTACAACACCACTGCACGCTAGGCAGCCTAATTGGAATATATGGTGACGGAACAGAAAATCGCAGTATATAAATACGCCTTGTCCAGCTTCTGCGGGCCTTGATATATGAAGGCAACCTTTTATGTGTAATTTTCTAGGGATATCTCCATAGCTAAACTGGTGTTTTCTAATTAAGACTTTGATAGACACCCATCACTGAAGATCATCCATCATGGATGGACAGACACAAATAAACTTTTTCTCAGGGCAGTGCTAGCAATCCCACAATTCTCCTCATCCCAAAATCTGCAGGAGTCAAGATGGCCTCTGTCTGGCTTTGTAAGACAAGATGAATTTCTCTGAAGGCAGGGTCAGAATTGCTGATGAAGACATAGTAGTTTTCATCAGTTTCAGCCTGTCAATGCAAACAGATGGTGGTCAGTAGAGATTTCAGCACCAAATCAAAACAAATGTAGTCATGTTGTGTTTCTCAATATGTCCTAGGAGTTCTACAGTATCTAAATCAATGGCTCTTAGATTTAGGTAAAAAACTTGGCGCTTAAAATTAGTGCGGTAAATAACAAATTGTTCATTGCATTACCTTGGATGTTAGTTTAAACTTTAAAAGTTAAAAATTTCATCCCAAAAATCCAAGATTATAAAACTGAACTAATTAGCAATATTAAATTAGCCACCTGTTATTATAATTATTAGTAAAGGAAATTTTAAACAAAAAATTAACTTTCTTTAGTCTAGTCTAGTCTTCTAGTCTAAAGATAAAAGTTTTTTTCTTACTCTAAAACAAAAATATTCAGATTTCTAGTTTTGTAGAAAAAAATTGCATACAGAAAAGGAAAAAAAAAGAATTGTCTCTTGAAATAAATACAGGTACACACAATAGTTTTCACTGATATGAAAGAGTAGACAATGAGATAGAATTTAGTCTCGTAGTTTAATCTCATATACAAGGTCCCTTGGTACGATATCCCATCATATACACTCTAAATTACTGAGCTTAAGACTAAAACATATATGGTGGTTAAAAAAGAGAAACATTGACTTAAATTGTCTGTAATTACACATTTTCACACACAAAGAAATATTATTCCTCTGTCGGGAATATTTTGCTGATTATCTTTAATAGTCTTGGAGTGCTGTAGATTCCGGACATAGATCGGACACAGATTGTTTGATCAGAAGGCAGCTATGAGGTTAGTCACAGTACAGGCGGTATTAAAGTACTAAATGACAAGACAAAGCCTGGACATTAATTTGCAGAAACATGAGTGAAATTCCAGCTGCCAATAGTTACTGGGTACCATATAGCACAAAAGAAGACCTGATAAATGACTGCCCACTCTTCCCGACCAAAGTAGACAAAACACAGGTCATTCTTCTTGCCAGATTCAAAGGAATTACAAATGTACAATATGGTATAATGAGCTTTTTGTTTAGAAGTTCTTATGAATGTTATTTATCCAGTACAGCAACATGTGGCATGATCTGTATTTTTTTTTTTAGTTTTAATCCCTAAAGCAATTATTGTTCAAATTCAGTAAAATATTGTATGAAACTAATATCCAATAGGTATTTGAATTAAAGATCATTATTTCTTCAGTACATAGAACATTACATGTATCGTACATATCTAACATCAATATGCAGTCTCAGAATGACTTCTCTACATAATTGGATCTCTTCTTTACCATGGCAACAAGAGGTCATTTGAATGAAGGACTTTGGGGATTGGTTGGGCATCTTGGACCATACACTGACGTTTGGTCCAGCTGATTAACAAAGTAATTACACACTGAGTAATCTGAAATACCCTGGAGATAAGACACACACACATCAGTTTTCTCACTGTTGTAGCTGGATAGCCCAGTTCTGCAGCATTATCATAATATGCCAGTTGTGGATCAGTTGCATCTTTTCTAGGCTTTTTCTCAAATGGACTTCATTATATTTTCCATAATTTAATGCATTCTCAGATACAAAATAGAGAACTTTCTGCCGGGACTGTTTCAAGTCATATGGACATATATGGGTAAAGGCAATGAGAAAGTTGTTAATTTCATTATTAAATATTGTTTATTGAGGTGTTAGAGTCCTAAGATTCAATAGTTGATGTATGTGTTTGGTAAATGATTTTCCGATTGTGGCAGTGAATATAAAGACCTAGTTTATACATTCTTCAACCAGCTTTAAAATTTTAAAAAGTAATGAATGGCACAACTTTCTGTTAGGAAATATGAATTTTACACTAAAAGCAAGCTTCCTGTTTTTGCTGCAGCTGAAGCACGGTGAGATATATGTATAGTGAAGCCTATTGTAGAAACTGGCCTGGCGTCTTTTCAAAGGATGGAGGTATATTTACTCAGCTCATTCTAAAACTGTGTTTGACGTCAATAACAGTACTCTAAGCTGAATACTGGGGCCAATTTAATACTCCGGCAAATAATATATTGTCTCTGTGAAAAACTTGATGCTGAAGCTGGTACAAAGGGTTTAAATGTTTAATGAATAGAGCATTATAAATTGCTATTTGTTTAGATTTTGTCTTGTTTTATA